AAGTAAGGAAGGATTTTGTCTTACAGATGTTAAAACTAATTAAAATAATGTGGCCCTAGCATAAGAACAGACAGAAATGCAGAGCATCAGAATAGAAAATTCAGCAGTGGCCCCAAGACTATGAAAGAGTTTAACTTTTTCCAGTTGGTAGTAAAAGATTATTCAGCAAATGATGTTGGAAAAACCGGCTAAACATTTGAAGAAAAAAGATGATCTTGACCTCATACCTTACATCAGAATACATTCTAGAACAAATAATGATCTAAATGTGAAAAAATACATGTATAAAATACTATAAATAAAGGTAGTCATAAAAAGGACAGCAGCAGCCCAGCCACAAGTATGAATATTGATACTAAATTTCTGAATGAAATACAGAAAACAGAATTCAACTGTACATTAAAATAATAATACATCACAACGAAGTGTAACCAGAAATGAAAGAATGACCCAATATTAAAAAAAATCTATTTAATGCATTTTGCTGTATTCGTAGGTCAAAGAAAATATATGAGCTCAATAGATGCCCAAAATGCATCTGATTAAATTGAATATCTGTTCCTGGTTTCTTTTAAAGGAAGAGTTGGACTTCCTTGGCATGATGTCATTTCCAAATGATGAAACATTTAAAATATTTCAATTAAGATCAGGAAAAAGACTATCGGGGGAGTTTTTAGGGAATCATGTGCAGTCGTTCACACTAAAATAATTTATTTTAATGGTACTTAAATTAACACTGATCCTTTATTATGCTAAGGAAGAAATCTAAAAAATGTGTTACAGTTTGTCAATTGTTTTGCAAACTGATGAAGCTAACAAATCTTGAAAGAGCAACATGATATAATACAAAGCACATGAGTTGGACTGAATCCAAAATCAGAATACCAGATCTGACATTTTAATTATTTGATTTTAGCAAGTTATGTAAGCTCTCTGAATCTCGGTGTCCTTATCTGTAAAACTGAATCCACAGAAGCAAAATGGAGTAAACTTGCTCTAGGCTCTTTGTTCTGTTGATTATAACAACTCAGGACAAAATTTAAAAACCAAGCATAATGAAACTCTGAAAAGCAAAAAAAGCAGGTGGATTGGAGAGTTAAAACCTGGAGAGGTAACCCACACAAAGATAAATTCCTAATTTTCTTTCCTCATAGCTTTAATCTGAAGGTGGACCTCAATCACAGGGCAGTAGGTTGAGATGTTACCTAAAAGGCCAAGAAAGCCCTCATATTTCTGGTCCCTGGAAAAAGGGGCTTCCGTGGTTCAAAGAATGTGGAGGGAATCCCATCTCTAATTTTCTTTTGTCACTCCTAGCTTTGCCCCAAGGGGGGCCTCAGTACAGAACTGCATGTAGCAATGTGGTGGCCAAAACTCCAAGAGAAACTCCATTTTTCTTGCTAGAGAACTTGAAAAGGGGGGGCATCAGTGGGAAAGGTAGTCTGTGGGGAGTCCTGGAGAGGAGAGAGCTGGAGAAGGGGATCCCTCTATTCTGTGTAGGAAGCTGTATAGGTCCCAGGCTCATCTCTGAGCTACACATGTACAGGACAGACCGAGAGCAGCTTAACAAAGACTTTGAAAACCGAACCAAAATGAAAACTACCACCCACAGAAGAAGAGATAGAACTTGTGGTCTGAACCTAGCCAGGGTGATTACCTACTAAAGCAAAGGAAAAAAAAAATATCAACTTTCTTTGAAGGATCTGAACATGACTCAGAGTCCCAACAACATAATATTAAAAATGTTTAGAATACAGTCTAAAATTGCTTAACACACAAAATCATCTAGAAAGTGTGACCCATTCTTAAGGGAGAAGATAATTAAGATGCCTGTCCTGAGCTATTAGAATTTTCAGTTATAATAACTGCAATTATTATGTAACAGGAGTTATAATAACTATGCTCCATGAGGTAAAGGTAAATATACTTGAAATGAATGGAAAGACAGAAGGTCTCAGCAGAGAAAAATTTTAAAAAGAACCTAGTAGATATTGTAGACCTGAAAAACACAATATATGTAATAAGAAATTCAGTAGATGAACTCAACAGCAGAAAAGAGATGACAGAGGAAAGAGCTGGTCAACATGAAGAAGGAGCAACAGAAATAATTTGGTCTAAAGAACAGAGAGATGGAAGATGGCAAAAAAATTGAAGAAAGCTTCAGGAACATGTGGAGTAATATCAAAAGGTCTAACGTGCGTCACTGGGATCACAGAGGGAGAGGAGAAAATGACTGGTACAGAAAAATTATTTGAAAAATAAAAGCTACACATTTGCCAAATTTGGTGAAAGACATAAATTTATAGATTCCAGAAACTCAGCAAAGTCAAAATAGGATAAACGCAAAATGAACAAACAAAAAAACCCTGCAGCCATGCCAGACATATCATAATCAAATTGCTGAGAACTAAAGATAAAGAAAAAAATCTTGAAAGCTGTTAGTGAAAAATGACACCTTAATACGAAACAATAAATCCAATGACCACAGAGACCACATCAGAAATGGAAGTAATAATGGTTTACGGGGATAAATAAAGGATATGTAAAGTGCTTAGCAGATAAGAGACACAAATGATAGGTATTGTTAGTCTAATTGTAATTTCTTTACTACATCTCAGCGTAACATATTTATTTTCCATTCTATTTCTTCAACCTTCTCATGGTCTCCTCTGCATGGAGTTGATCCCAATAACTGCAAGTGTACCTTTGATGTTATTTCTTTTAATTTACCCAAAATCTTTTGTTGCTCTTGTTGAAATGAAAGTCTTTGCTAATTCGTCTTGATTTTGAACAACTTTTTTAAAAATTCTGTACATTTCTTCAATTATTACATAACTGGTATAATAATGCATTTCTTATTGTCTTATAATAAGACATAATATCCCATTATGAAGATCAAGTGAGAAATAGAAAAAGTATACAAATTCCTGTGACCAACTGAAACACTGAGTCATGTATTGCAGAAATAGTACCAGCTTGGGAGTTCGGAAAGCCTAACTCTTTTAGTCAATCTCAGAAGAAAGTATTTTAGAGAGAGATGGCTTGCCCACATCCTTCCATAGGCTGATGAGGTTGGGGATGTGTCAGTGAGCCACGTCCTGCTTTGCCAGCTGGCCCGTAGGTTAAGCCAAGCTGTCACCACATGAAACCCAGAAAGCCTTAGCAAGGTATTTCTGGCTGTTGTTTGATGCATAAGCAGCCCTTAAATATTAAATGCTGCTTCCAGCCAAGTGGAGATGTTAACCTCGGTCTTCTCCTCGGCTCGGGTTATAAAGAGTAGTGAAGTTAAGGCACAAACAGATTCAAAGTAACGTTCAGATGACTGCTTCGAACTAGCATAACCAAATGGGTCTGAGAGCCTAGACGTTCTAATAGTGTTTATGAACCTGTGCCCTCCCTCCGCCTCTCCACCCTCCCAGAGGCTGTGAGCGGCAGCACACAAAATAGCCACAAGGGGTTTGTCCGCTCGGTCTCTCGTCCAAACTCTCAGGCACGGAGCGAGTGGGGCCAGCATAAGCGGCACATGTGAAGAATAGGGGAGAGGGGCGTTTTCTCCAAAGAAAAGACATGTCTGCAGAATTAAGACTGAGATATTACTGCATAAAGATGGAGACATCACATGGTCCATAGGCTAGAGACACTGTCTCAGCTTCTCAAAATCTCTGGCCAATATTGAAGGAAAGTCACACAGGCTTCTTTGTTTGTTTGTTTGTTTGGGTTTTTTGGTGGAGGGGGTGGCAGTAATTAGGTTTATTTATTTACTTATTTAATGGAGGTACTGGGGATTGAACCCAGGACCTCATGCCTGCTAGGTGTACGCTCTACCACTGAGCTATATACCCTCCCCCCTTCATGTAGGCTTATGAGTCTCTGTTTAACAGAAGGCAGCAGGTGGAGGTGAAGGACCGTGCAGCCAGCATCTAGTGTGGGTTCTCCTCTGTACCCTTAGGAACATGATGAAGCCTCGGTTTCTCCTTCCATTAATACGGAATAAGAAAACCATTTTTAAAATGGGGTTTCTGTGCGTATCAGATGGCAGGCATGCTTCTAACAGATACCACTGAAGGGGTAACAGGATTTGAAAACTTACCATGGTACAAAGAGCTCTTTTTGTTACAGATGGAAACAAAGACACGGAGAAGGATGAGGACTAGCTTGGATGTGCTGTGTGAGTGCAAAGTCCAGAAAAGCTTACCCATCCTGTTAATCCTATTCTCATTTCTAGAAGAATGTCACAGAATAAAGTCTCCCTGCCCCGCCCCCCGTGTTTACCATTCCTCCCTTCCTTTCTCCAACATGTCCACACTTCAGTCTCTCAATAGTCCCACCCTGGGGCTTCTCTCATGTGGGCCATTCCACTTTTCAAAAAATGGACAGTGTCATTAACTCCAGAAAAGTGTCATTTCTAACACATCTTCCTAGCTAGGAATAAATGACATGTCTCTGTTTTTGCTAGTTTTCACCTGCAAATGGGAAAACCCCAAATAATGTTTTTGTTAAGCTAGGGTCTAATTGATCCTTTTATGTCAACAATATTTTGCCACACTTCACTGAAATTTTCTTTTATTTTGTGGAACCGCAAACCCTCCCCTTTTATTCCCTGCCTGAGTAATTATGTAGGATAATATTTCAAGTTCTTACTTCTCTCACAGCATGCTTATTATATCTCTGAACTCTTTAGCCACAAAATAAATCTAATTTAAATAAAAGAAAATATAGACACCCTCACCAAGAATTTGGTTTGCTCCAAGTTCGCAGACTGAGTCACAAATCAAAAGTGTGATTTAGTCATTTGTAAAATTTCACCTACATCAGGAAATTCCATCAAAGTCACCACAGAGTAAACCGGCAGATGGGTCAACGTGCAAAGTTCAAGGCGTAAGTAAAAAGAGAGAACTATTTGATTAAAGTGACTGACAGATGAAGGCTGGCACTGGGCACAAAAATCAGAAGGACCCAGGAAAGATGGATTTTGTGGTGACAGGGATGGGGACCATCCTTACCTGTCTTCTGTGAGCTTCATTAGGGTTGTTCCTCGAGTAGAGAAGACAATAAAGGACATTCTTAGCTGTGGGCTGGAAAGGAAAAGAAATTACCTTAAGGCAGAAAGAAAGACTGCGGAATGCCGTTCCCTTCCTGGCTTCCCCCACATTCTTCCCTCTCCATCACAGAGGCACCTCCACAGCTGGCATTGCATTTAGCCTGCAGCAGATTCAAAGCTGGGGACCAAAGAGAGGACCGGCTTTGTCTTCCTGGAGGCTGCTTCTGATCTGACACCACCCGTTGATGAGTGTGGATTACAAATAAGAAAGCGAAAATTCATCACCGTCCTCTGCTCTGTCTGAAGTGTGTCCCTAGAAGACTGGTTTGCATGCTGCCTTTACAAAGGGAGATCCCAAGAAACATTTGAGAGTGTCTCCACCACAGCTGGGTGTATCCTATAGTGAACAGAATGTTTCAGGCTGTTACAGCTTGATGCCATCAGCCACCAAGATCATACAATTCCTTTTGCTCTGAAACTAGTATCATCATCAACTTTTAATTTCTACTGGGCTTCCCAAGGAGGGTACCGTAGAAGGTTGGCCTGTGCTGAGGGGCCACAAGAATACCTAGTCCACTTGGTAGTTAGACTCCTTATTAATGAGTACATGGGCATGGTTTTTCTATGGCACTGCTTGGTAACTTTGTCAATGCAAAATCCACACTTGGGGAGATAGAAGAACTCTAGCTGAGGACAGACATGTTTTTCTGTCTGCAAGATGTGCTGGCAGACTGCAGTGGGTTCACCACTGCAGTGCCATCCTGTGGGGCTCTCTCTGGGCAGCCAACTGGTTCATCCTTCATGGTACCAACCTATTTCTTCCCAATGCAATAATCTCTCTTACCTGACTGGGCCCCAAATCTGATAGTTCCCCCTTCCTAAAATGTTTCTCAGACCTGCCCCCCTTTTCCTAACAATTGAATTGTGTCCTTGCTGGTGACCTTGCCCATCATTCCTTCCTCCAATTCACTCTTCATACTGCTTCCAGAGTTTTCTCCTAAGATGTAAGTCAGATCTTGGCACTCATCTGCTATAAAACCGCCAATGGCTCATACTGCCTCCAAGATAAAGTCTACATCCATTACCATATGTCCTGTATGGTACCACTTGTCTTTGGAACCCCTTAGCATGGTGCTGAGTATTTGGTAGGGACCCCAGCAACACCTGGTAAATTGGATGTTGGCCTCTTGAACCAGACCTGGGTTCTCTGTCCACGGCGCCATGGTGGCTCTTACCACCTCACTAGTCCTGGGCCAGTAGGACACCATGTCCTAAATGACAATAATAACAATCATAATTATCATGATAATATAATAAAATAATGGCCCACTCTAGGCTTACTATGTGCCAGGCACTATCATAAGTGATTTGCATGTATTATCTCATTAAACTTACAACAACTTTATGAAATCAGTACTCTTATTATTCCTATTTGCCACAAAAGGAAATTGAGACCCTGAAAGAATAATTTTCCCAAGGTCACACATGGGAGAGTGGTCACACAACGTAGGGCTGAAAACCAAGCGTTCTGATTCTAGAATGTGCGCTTTTAGCTCCTATGTTATATTACTTCCCTTCTGTTGAGTTAAGCTCTGGAAAGAACGAAGCTGAAATGTGGGGAATGTAGGTCTCCAAGTGGCATTGGGATATGAGTCTGGGCTGGAGACATAGTTTGGGAGTCCTCAGCATACTTATGTGAATCAAATTGCTCAGAGAGTGTCATCCGGGAGAGGAGAAGGGAGCCCCACCTAGAACCAACACCAAGATTTAAAGGCCTGGCTCCAGTCAGTGAGATGAAAAGAAAGCCCGTGCTGGGGAGAATTTCAAGGAGAGAGAAATTGGAATCCAGTGAATCTCCTCTGTCCAGCAGGGCAAGCACTGCATGGCACTCAGTGGATTTGTCCTCTAGGGCATCACTTCCAGACTTTGCCGAGAACAAGCAGGTGGAGGGTGGGGGTGAAGTCCAGATAGTGGTGGGTTAAGGAATGAATGAGATGCAAGGATATGAAGGCCACAAAGTCTTTAAAGATATTTGAGTGAGAAACCGGTGAAGAATTAGGTTAGCATCTATAGGAAGATGTGATGAGGAGATTCATTGTCTTTTGTTTTTGTCTTTTCAGACAAGGGGCAGGAGAGATTAGTTTATGTTTATGGACAGTGGAAATGAAGCCAGAAGAAAGGTAGGACAAATACAACAGAGAAACAAAGGCCTGGATGAGATTGCAGACAATGGGCTAAAATGGAGGGACTGGCTTTAAATAAGGAGGACACTTGAATCCCAGAGATGATGGGACGGGCACACATGCATCTTTTAAGAGGAAGACTGGGACTTGAGGTAATCACTTGTCTGCTCTTCTCTGGGCTCTTGGTGAGAGTGATGAGTGTGAGTTGTAGTTTGAAGGTTTAAAGAAAATGGTGACAAGTTATGCGACTGATTGAACATGCTGTGTGTCAGGCACTGTTCCAAGGCATTGGGGGCTACAGCAATCAACAAAAGACAATCCCTGCCTCTCGGAGTTTGCGTGGCAGTGGTGTCTTGGTGCCATTCTTTGAGGGGGTCCAGAGCCAAAGAGGGCCCGAGGAGACAGCCAGAGGAACGTGCCTCATGGTCTGGATTAAGCCATGCCAATTACTCTGATCCTCAGTTTCTTCCTCTATAAAATGAGAGGATTGGATTAAATGGTCTCTTAGTTCCTCCCACCCCTACCTCTAACTCCTTTGAAACTAAAATAGCCAAGTGTCCAGAGTTGCTGAAGGAACTGGGAGAAGCGTTCAGTGCCTACTCTAAGCCAGATGCGGGGCTGGTTGGTTTGCATGTGTTTTCTCTTATAATTTTCACAGGCAAACTAGGGTTCAACCAAGGTAAACAAATTGCTATGGTTGCCCAGGGGAGCTTGGATTCAAATCCGCATCTGCTTAACTTGAAAGCCTTTTCCAAAAGACTCCTCTGCTTTAGAGGGAACAGAGAACCACGGGAGCAAATAGAGACATAGCAGATACTGTCAAGTGGCTGGAGGCAGATTTGTTTTATATCTCTCCAGATGGATGAGACATTGTGGGTCAATGACAGAAAGATCTGCATGGAAACTGGAATTGTCCAACTATTGGCTTGTTGGCCTCAAAAGGCAGCAGTTTCTCACCAGAGCTATTCAAGTTGGGGGTTAGTGACGGCCTCTTAGGATAGCTTGAAAGATGCTCCTTTCAACCCTAAGCTTCTAAGAGTCTCTTAAATATTTTGTTTATAATACCACCTATGCATTTACTTTTCTCCTTTCCATCTACTTCCTGCTCCCCTACTCCTCACATCTCTTTCCTCCATTCATCTGGATTTAGGGACTTCCTGCTGCAGGTCCCAATTTTTGGCATCACCGAGAAGACACCTCCTAATGCTTTCTCTCCAATCAGGCAGGCAGGCACATGCTGAGACCAGTAACTGACTTGGCAAGGAACACATATGTCATTACCCTGGTCTCAGAGGAAAACCTGTCTTGAGACTAAGAAACTGATCGAAAGAAGTGTATGATTACTCACAGTGGCTGGAAGACTCTACAGAGGTTATCAAGGAGAAGCGGAGCTGCTTTAAAATTTACAATGATCAGAAGAACAATTTTACCAAAGGCTTTGACAACTGGTTTCAAGCATTTCCAGGAACGCTATCACAGTTGTGTTATCTCTTGGAGGCTGCACCCAAGGAGGGTGAAATGGCCTCCTTTCTTATACAAGTGGGTGTCTACACACTGAAAAATAGGACCTCCAAGGCCCCTGCGATGTGTATAGTGATCATGTTCAAAACTGCATCATTCTCCCTTGGAAAGCAGTGTTGACAATGCTCGGAGAATTCTACCTGGTGGGGCACATAGCAAGGCTGATGGACCATCGTGGTTTGCCCAGGATGAGAACTCCCAGGAAGTGCAACTTTCAGTGCGGAAACCGTGGATGTTTTGGGTAAATTGGGATGAGTTGGTCACTTTACACCCCATGGCCTCTACACGGGGGTCCAGCAAGAACGAGTCAATCGCCCCAGCATGATGTGTGGTGAAAGAAAACGTTAATGATCCTTCTCGAAGGATATTATTCAATAAGACAGGGAGAAAGTGAAAATTTTGGTCTTATAACAAAATTGCGGTCCTCTTGAAAACATGATCTCAGAGTCTACCTTTGGCATCAAAAAGCATCCCCAAGGTTGTCAGTAATTAGTAGAATAGCAAACACAGGCTGGTTTTACTCACGGATGAGAACTATACATTATGTTTCTCACCTGATGAATTTATGAGCCAATTGTTCCACGAAGTAATAGATTTCATTCCAGTGGTGCAGCACACTTCCCGATCTAGGAAAATAAAGCAGGTGTGACTTAATCAGGTGTTCATTTGTTTTTACCTTGTATCATTTCTCTTCCTATTCTATTATTTGACATTTGATCTATGCTCTAACTGGGCTCATTATCTGAAAGTTCCATAACTATGGAAATTATTTGAAAGGGCGCTTAGGCTTAATGTTGGAGTTCTGAGAATTTTGTTAAAGAACTCCGTTCACTCCACCTTCACCGCTTTCCACCCCGACTCCACACACTCGGATGCTGGAAAAAACCTCTGGCCCCAACCAGATTCACAGGTTAGTTTCAAAGCTTTAAGAAATAGTTATTTTTGTGCTATTTAAATTATTCCTCCGATTAGGGAAGAAAAACAATTCCAATTTTTTGAAATTAAATTAACACAAATTAGATGCCCAAACAGATAAAGATAAATTCCCCTCCTCAAAAGAGTCCAAATTCATTTGTAAAAACAGATTGAAGTATCTCTTAAATAAAATACCAGCAAAACTAATTCAGCAGTAATCCAAAAGAATACTAATTAATTAACTGGTGGAGTTTATTTCAGGAAGGGATTGACAATTCAACATATAAGTATATTTAATGTAACTAGCCATACTAATACATAAAGGAAGAAAAATGAGACAGCCTTTCATTATTAAAAAGGAATCCTTTTACCAAAAAAAGAGGCAAACCTTCTCTAAGACATATGGAATCACAGAATTTTAGATTTGGAAGGGGGCTTATTTATTTCCTAAGGCTCACTTCTGTTTCACTGATACCACTTACTACGGTTTTAATTCATCTTATAAGTATTGTTCACAGTGCTCGTACTCAATCTGTTAGTGACATCATAGTAAGTTTTTCTATTCTAACTCACTCTTCTGTTGCCTTGATGCGTCTTTCCTTTCACTTAAGGATCTGTTTCAGCTGAGCTCTGCATTTCTGCCTGTCATTCTAGTAATTGTTAGGGTTACAGTTTGCTTCTTGTACTCTGACATTTTGTACTAAATGCTAACATATTTTCCACTGGTCTCAGGTTACTTTTATTTTTTTATGCACTCATTTATCTTAATTTTAACTCCCAGAGCATTATTACTATTTTCCTTTGTTTCAGACTGTTTTATAAATCTTTAAGATGAATCTGTGCAAAGTAGATTTTATGCCTTCCTTTTTATGGTGCAATATCTCTAAGAATTCTCATTCTGGTTGAATGTATTCCATCTCTATGAGGAGAATTTATTTTTCTCTGCCTCATATCTAGAAATGATATGTCTGATCTGAACAAAAGTGATACAATACATTATGGTCATAAACTGGAAGACTCTCTATCGTAAGTCTATCTCATGTTCCCCAAGTTCGTCTATAAGTTCAATTTTAGGAAAAATTCTGAAAGGATGTTTTGTGAAACTCAGAAACTAACCTGAAAAATGAAATGAAGGTTAAAGTTCTAAAAGTAATCAAGGCAATAATATAAAAGAACAATGTTGGAAAGCTTGCCCTGTCACATGTAATGACTCCAGATGCATGATACATGGTATACCAGTAGAGCCAATGGAGTAAAATAGAACCCACACCTCAGTGCATGTGAGGTCATGCTATATAGTGGAAGAGGTGATTCGAACTGGGGAAGGAGAATAAACCCTTCAGTACATGATGCTGTGACAATGGACAAAGGCAATTAGCTCACTATCTCATACCAAACGGAACCCTACATGTATTAAAACCTAATAGGTAATACAAAACTTTCAGTCCATTGGGTGAATTATGAGAGATTTTAATGTCATCAGGTGAGTGAAGGATTTCTTCACCAGATACAGAAAGTAGGAATTGCTTTTTAAGAATAATTTTGACTACCCGAAGTGTCTAAAATTCTGGATGACAACAAGATACCATAAACAAGTTCAAAGACAAGGAGACAGTGAGAGATGTCATCAACCAATATAAAGAGGAAAAGATTAGTGTCTAGGATATGTAAAAATTAACAAGACAAACAATAGAAAAATAGACAGAGCATCAGAACAGGCAATCCCCTGAATGATGGTAAATCAGTAACTGAAAAAACATTCAACTCTTCTAGTAAATATAGAAATGCCTATTTAAACAATCCTTTGGGGACAAGCAAGCAGTCTCCGGCGGCAGCAGCATAGAGCCCACAGGATAGAGGGGTGAGGAGTTGGGGAGATGGGGAAAGAGATCAGGGAGAGGAGGGGACAGGGACTCTTCTTGTCAAAAATATTCCACTGGCTCAGGACACTCAAGTTCCACACTGGCAAACTCCTACTCATTCTTCAAGACCCAACTCAGTAGTCCTGTCGCCTTTGACCGACACAGATGGGGCTCAGTGCCCCCATCCCATTCTCTCTGAGAACCAGGTCAGTGTCGGTCATCATCCTCCTTTGATACTGGGTTGGGTTGCAGTCACTTTTTTTTTCAAGCTCCCCTTGTGAGGGTCTTAAGGCTATTTGGCTATCCAGCATTTAACTTGTTTATTGGCTGGAAGAGAGAGGAGCCTGGGGAGGAGAAACCTCGATTGCTCACAGACGCCTCCTGATCTTTTGCCAGCTGGACAGCACCTCTTCTGCCCTAGTCTGGATAAATAACCTTGGCTCCAGCCAATTCCTGTGACCCTATGTGAACCCGAGGCGCCTTCCCAGAGGATCAAAGGTTCTAGAGCACAGCTCCTTGGAGATCGGGACTACTTAATCATCAATGATAGTAGACCTCTGAGCTTAGTGTAAGCTGGGAGTCTCCTAAAAGCTCACCAGAATAGTGCGTCCTAGCCCTGGGCTTTTAAAGCTTTAGAAACCCTTTCATTAGAATTCCAGCCGTCCTCCTGGACAAGATTCAGTTGTGTATTTCAGGTCTTCAAGACTGGTCCTGGCTGCTCTTTGTTAGCTATGGGGTGGATGCTCTGGTTCTGGGGGTCCTACTGAAGGTTTGATGGCCCAATGCAGTGTATGTGCTTCCAAAGAGGCACCACCTGTCTGATTATAAGCCACGGTCCAATCCAGAATTCTACAACTCCTTTCCACTGGAATCAAGAGATTTCCTTGACGATTGCTCATCTGTGTGCATTTCTGAAATGCAATGCTATGGTTTGGTCCATAGGACCTGGACAAGTGCTATCTGAGATTTTGGTTACTGAGGGGTAGAGTAAGACACCTAATGATGAGAGAGGACTCCCCACAGTTCCTCTATCCCATATTTGATTTTCTCTTCTGTAGAGAAGTCCTACAGAGAGGGAATTAAACTGGGAGGGGAGGCAAAGGGTTGTTGAAATAGGATCTCGTAACTAGAATTGGGGGCCTACTCTTGGCTCTCTGCTTAAGGCGCAGGGGTTTGGAGTAAATCCTTTTGGATTACTATTTCTTTGTTCTCAAGGATTGGCCCTATTTCACAGCCTCAAATCAATGTACATCCTTTTACTTATGAAACAGGGTCATCCAATGATAATTCAGACATTCTTCTGTCTTAAAACATGTCATTTTCACTATTCTTCTGACTGAGACTGACATGGAGGATTTAGACAATTTTGGTATTCATCTGATATTTTAATGCAAGATATAGGGAAAGATCTGAGAAATATCCTGGAGTGTGGGGAAAAGTCTAAATCTATCTGGAAAGCTTTCTTGCTAATGGGCAGGGGCTGTATTTTCTCAAGAAGAAAATAAAATGAGACTCAAGATAAAAGTGGAGGCGAGAAGGTATTGACATGCTGACTTCTCCCATCCCAACTCTACTAATAATGGCCCTATTAAGGTTTGTTGTTTTGCATGTACACATGATCAGTCCTTCCATAATTATATAAGCCTTAGCCAAAACATACCCACTTTAGCACACAGTTGAGATGTACAAAGCCTATTCTTTCAAGCACTGAGGGTAAACATAGCCTTCTAAGATTCTGGGACCAAACTAGTTCTGTCTTCTCTGGGTTACCATGGGATGCCAAGGGGCCTTGGCTTCTAGGCAGAGGAATATAGGGTTATGTATATCTGCATCTTGGAATCCTTCTAGTCCTAATTACTGAGCTCCCTAACCCCCACATGCACGCTCTATCCTACCCCAAGATCAAATCACCCCTTAGAGAAGGAAAGAGCCCCGTGCCTGCTGCTATGGTTTTAGCATGGAGGTGAGCTTACCGGAGGTGCAGCTCATTTCTTTGTAATCCAGATCCCCAGGAGCAAGGAGCTTGCCTGCCTTGGTGCCACTGTCCTCTCTCCTGTCTCAGCACCACCCACTGGGCACTGCTGGACTCCTAACTCCAAACTCTAACTACTTCATCCATGGGCCTCTGGAAACTACCCACTGGGATCTCAATCCAATGCCTGTCCTTCTCTCATAGGGACAGATCTGCTGGATCTTCGATTCTGTTTGGACTTATTGTCAAAACATGCATGTCTCACTTGCACTTTGCTTTGTAAACTGATTTACTGATTTGGGATCTGACCTAGTAGCTACTCCCAGAAAAATCAACAGCCCAACCAGAAGGAGGGTATAAGTTGGGGAAGTGGCAGAGAGTGACTCCAGAGCCAGCTTCTCTCCACCCTCCATCCTTCTTTATCATGCTGACTTGTTTAAGAATTAATGATCTTGCATGGAAGCAACCAAAATGTCCATTGACAGATGACTGGATAAAGAAGATATGATATATGTACACAATGGAATACTACTCAGCCATAAAAAAGAATAAAATAATGCCATTTGCAGCAACATGGATGGACCTAGAGATTATCATACTAAATAAAGTAAATCAGAAAGAGAAAGACAAATACCATATGCTATCATTTATATGTGGAATCTAAAAAAGTGACACAAATGAACTTGTTTACAAAATAGAAACAGACTCACAGACATAGAAAACAAACTTATGGTTACTGGGGGGGCAAGAAGTGTAGGGATAAATTAGGAGTTTGGGATTAGCAGATGCAAACTACTGTATATAAAACAGATAAACAACAAGGTCTTACTGTATAGCACAGGGAACTGTATTCAATACCTTATAATAGCCTATAATG